CCTCCTTCTGCAAGTTTGGGAGTTCTACACTGTTTCATTTGTTTAGTGATCACCCAAGGAGAGACAGCATTCATAATTCCGTACTGAATCAATAACTTAGACAATACAAGAATCTTAGTCTGTTTAATAGCTTTTATCTTCTATTAGTACATGTGTTACTTTTGTTGGGTATTTAATTATACATTATTTTAAAACAACACAGGATCATTTTAGTATTGTTTTTCTAAGCTGATATATCTATATATCTATGTATCTATATCTATATATTTTTATTTTTTTAGGAGGATGGGGAGTTTTCTTATAGGGTAAGTGCACTCACTGGAGAGACAGAGCAAGACAGAGAGACAGAACTTGAGAAATCACCCCTCAGGGGGGAAGGCCATGCTGCAATCCCTTCTCCATTCTCATTTTGGGATTTTGGGTGTGCATGCAAATGTGCCCAGTATGAGTTTCAAGTCACTGGGACCCTCAAACTGTGGTCGATCATGTGGAATTCTAGTGCCTTAACCACTATACCACCAGCTGGTCCCAAGTTGATGTATTTTATAATGATCTTCATGTTTACCACTTCCTTTGTTTTTTAGTTCTCATTTCATTTCAGAGTTCCCATCTGAAGTGTATCTTTTAGTTCTTTCTTCATTAAAAATCCTTTGGTGGCCCAGCTATGATGGTGCAGGTTGTACTGTGCAACTCTTTAGTGCTGGACATGACATGGCTGGCCACAGGTTTGGATCTCGAGACTACATGAAACACAGTGGCACACACCTGCCCAGCATCCTGACTGGTTGTGGGGCTGGGGGAAGGTAACCTTGGTGGATGAGACCCTGTCAAGAGTGTCTTTGTCTCTGTCTTGCTCTTTCTCAAGAAATAAACTACAAAAAGAAAATCCTGGCACTGAAAATGTTTTCCTCATTCTTGCAAAATATAGTCACTGGAATACAATTCTAGAGGGATTAGTCACTGGGCATACTGACACCCCACTGCAGTATTTCCGGTTTTCATTCTTGCAGCTGAAGTCTATAGCTACTCTTTCATTCTTTGTTTTTAAAAAATCTGCATTCTTCCCCTCTCGGGGGAGTCACCAGTTTATTGGGGCATATCTAATGTGTTTTTCTTTATACTGTCTAGGATGTTTTTGATGCCTTTTGTTGTTATTGTTGCCAGGGAGTGTGTGCACTTGACACAGAATGAGAGACTTGGAATCACAATGTAAAGTCCGGCTTCTCCTAAAGCCCCTCAGTGAAGGGTATCATTGATATCCTAGTGGAAAGGATCCTGTCAGGGATGCTGAATATTAACATGGCCTTTAAACACACTTCTGTTGAAGTACATATTTTTCATGGCTAGAAGAAATTAGTCCTGTTTATTTCATGTTGTTAATATTTTCCCCTTAGATTTAGGAACCAGTGAATTGCTTTTCATTGTAATTTCCAGAGCAGTGGTGGTTGCTTTCTAAAACTCCTGAGTGTTTTGAGACTACTTAGACAAATGACAGTCTATGATAACTGTGGCTTTCTGATTATTTATAGAGTCTATTTTCCCAAGATGCATTGCAATCTTTCAGGCTTACAACATATGAGTCCTTTCTGTGACAATTGGAGTACTCAAGACGATCTATATTGCTTCAAATTTAAACCCGCGTACTATAACTATACTTTGATACATTGTAAAGAATGACTTTTTTTCTTTTTGTTTTTTGCTATAGGAAACAGAGACAGAGAAAGAGAGAGAAAGTGAGAAGTTACCCCCAAGGGGAGATGGCCACACTGCAACCCTTTCTTCTCCACTCTCCTCTCAGCATATCAGTATGAAATAAATGTACCCACTGAGAGTTTCTTTCTTTCTTTTTTATTTAGTAATTACTTTATTTAACTTTTTAATTTATTAGTATTATTTTTTAATATTCTAGAGAGACATGCATGCAAAGAGAGAAGGAAAGTGAAAAAGCATGCCTCCATGTCCGGGACTTGAACCATGTGGGAGTCCAGTACCCTTAACCACCACACCACCTGCCAGCCCCTCCAGTATGAGTTTTAAGTCGCCAGGTCCAATACTCAAAGGGCAGTCAGCCAAATGGGAGTTCAGAGCCTTAACCACCATACCACCTGCTGGCCCCAAATAAATAATTCTTAAAAAAAATTATTTCACTTATTCTCTTCTATGAGTGAGAGACAGAGAGAAAGTTCCTGACACTGCAGTCCACTCCCCTGCCTTAGCCATCCTCGGATCATGGACATGTACAGGCTGGGTATACTCAGTGAGGTCTCCAGACACAAACCTGTAACTTTCTTATGTCAGTGAGTCTCACAGAGTACTGTTCTTTACTGCCACATGACCTTCCAGCTCCAAGAATTACTTTTCATTTTATTTTACTTATTTATATATATTTAAAAATATTTATTCATTTAATTTTATTTATGACTATTATTTTAAAAATTTTTTATAGGAAACTTATGTTTACTAGAGAGCAAGAGAAAGAGAGACAAGAGAGAAAGAAAACAAGCCACCAGGTCCAGGACTCAAATCACAGTCAGCTCTGTGGGAGTCCAGGCCTTAACCACCACTCCACCTGCTGGCTCTTAAGAATTAACTTCTTTTGGAATTGCTTTTATCTTATACTAAAGGAGCCTCAGCTTGGTTTTTGTAGATCACTACCTAACACAATAGTTTCTGAGTAAATTATAATTTTCCACTTGTCAAATTTAATGTGATATTCTGCCAGTTACAATAGACAGCTGCTAATGGTACTGAATTATTGTTGTCCGAGGTCATAGTTTCTTCTCAAATCCAGTGGCAACTTCTACCCTACTCTGTCCCTGAAATTTTGAGCTTTTGGTATTATAGAAATCTATTTCCCCAAAGTAAGCGAGATATTGTTTCTATGCTATTCTGAGATGTTGAAACTTGTACAACACTGTGCTGAGAAATGTGAAATACTAGTTTACAGTAATAGAATAGATTTAAGAATTTTGAGGTGACTTATCTGTAACAAGAAGGAGATGCGCAGGAGTGAAATGTGTCTTTATAGGAGACAAATGCTGACTGAAACATGGTATACTGAAACATGGTAAAAAAAGTCAATCAGTAAATTTTAGTGTTAATTTTTGTAGCATTTTTCTGGCAGTATCATTATAAATATTATTTACATGCAAAATAACTACTTATCATAACTGTGGTGCAATATGAATTAATACATACTTTTAGATGTCTAGTTGTCCTTTAAAAATCCATTGTGAATCTGGGGACCAGAAGATGGCATAATGGTTATATCATTGGACTCCCATGTAGTCGACTGCAGCATGAGTCCCGGACCTTGTGGCTTTAAACTCATGGCAAGTGTGTGTGTGTGTGCATGCCCAAAATCCCAAGAGGAGAATGGAGGAGAAAGAACTCTGGCATGGCCATCCCCTCTGGGGAGTGATTTCTCACTTTATGTGTCTCTTTCTCTCTCTGGTGAGCACACGCACACTTTAGCAAAAATCTCTCCCTTTAAAAAAATCCATTGTGAATCTGAAGCAATAATTTTATGTTAATATAGTCTATAATAATCACCTAAAATACAATTATATGTTTAAAATACTATGATTACAGGAAACATTATGAAACATTAGCTATAGTTTTTTTTTTCTTTTTTTCTTTTTTTTTTTGTGTGTGTGTGTGTTCTATTTTCTAAATATTGTATTCCTGAACTGAATGTACTCAATATAAATGCCTTCTTATGGGTCCGGCAGGTGGCATGGTGGTTAAGGGTGCTGGACTCCCACATGGCCGACTGCAGTACAAGTTCCAGATCCGGTGGATTGCTTTTTTACTTTCCATCTCTTCTTTCTCTCTCTCTCACTCTGTTGTTCTATGGTCAAATTAAAATAAATAAAGTTAAATAAAATAATTCTTTTTTTAAAAATGAAAATCCTTTGTATATCTTTCCTTAAGATGAAGCAGAAAAAGAGAATAATAAAGAGACACATCTGAAATAAAAAAGAGGAAATTATAATTGCAACTAAGATTATGAGCTTGAATAGTTGGCACATAAAATAATGATTTTCCTGAAGTACAGTTGTGCCAAGGCCTGATTTTGAGTTCTATTTTAATCTAACAGCTCCCCACAAATTTAAATTTGGACAGTTGGATTAATTCTATTGTGAGATTATGTGCTATACAAAAGTACCTCCAAGACCCTTCATTCCACACAGATTCCTCCTTTAGACCCTTACCTGTGTGCATGCTGGAGATGCCACTACAGAGACAATAGCATTAGGAAATGCACTTAAAACCCTTTTGCTTGGGTGAAATTATTGACTAACTCTGAATTTCCCTTACTTTATCAGACGCATCCTGCTTGATAAAGGCACAGGTTATACTTCCACTCAGTAACTATAATCCTGTCATATCATCAGCTCCTTGAAGTTTCCACACCATTTCAGCCATTTCCTATATTGAAATAGCTAAAAGGTCACAGTGCCTTCATAACAACTGTGAGGAGATAAGTAACTTCTCCAGAATTACAATGCTAAATTAAGAAAAAATGAAGACCAGATTGAAGGTTTCCTAGGGCGATTATCTTCCTTCCATTCTCTTTTACTCCTGCACTTAGACACACTCCTCCCAACAGTTCTGTCATGAAAGAGATGAATAAATACCCTTGTAAAGCTCAAACTTGTGTCTACATCAATGGCCAGTACAGAGGTGGCTCAAATAAGAACCAAATTAAAGCATTTTAGGTACAACTGGATTAAATCTTTAAGGTATTAAATTTAAACAATGCTTGAAAGAAGGCAAATACTATGTCAAAGAGCACTTTCATACTGAAAATCTGACCAGCAACTGATGATGCTGTTCATCTCTCATACTGATTGGTTCCCAGCACTGAAGTTACCCACTCCAGAAACAAAGGGAAAAAATACTTTGATTCCTATTTGGGCTGTGGGAGAGGAGGGTCCTAGTTCTTGCTGAGTGAGATTTTCCTCCTTCTCACAATTGGTCCTTTCTTTTTCTGCAGCATGTCATGTCTGTGGCTCCCTGGTGTCTCCTGGACAGCAGCTCTGACAGTGACACTGATGGTGCTGAGCCCTCCCCTGACTTTAACCAGGGACACTCGACCTAAGTGTGCACACCTTGGGTGCTGAGCTATTTTTGGGGTGGGGAAAAGAAAGTTAACTTTTTCACTAGGTCCAGGCATATTTTCTTCAGTGATCACCTATATTTATCAAGTGAATCCCAAATTATTTCTATAACAACAGGAGCATGTATCTTGAGAGCCCTTCTCCTATGAGACCTGTGTAAGGGGCTCCACCTAGGCCACTTCTCCTCAAATCTAGTTCAGTAACACCTCCCCAGCTTTGTAGCACATTCCTTTATGGTCTGGAGACGGTTTAGAAATAATGATGCTAAAGTAATTCCCCACCAAGCACTTTCCTTTAATATACTGAGTTATGCTAACAAAAGGGAAAGTTTATCTGACAATTTTATAGACAGTAAAAAAAAAAAGAAAAAATTGGAAGGGCCTCTCCTAGAAGATCCTGTTATATCCTCAACAAGCTCTGTGGTGATGGTGCCTCTCCCCAGTACGTGAGGCTGGATCAAGAGACCTTGCTCATTAGCCTCTTATTACTCTCCTTGAACTCCAGTGTTTTTAAAGTTTGCATCTCTGCACTAGAAGGTTTTTTGTTTTGTTTTGTTTTATATAATTTAAGTTAGTACTCTTTCTCTCATTATTTTAAGTTAAAAACTCTGAATTTCAAGTAGAGCACCTTAATGCTTGGAATAAACCTATAGATAGGAGCATCTATGGAGTATTTTTTAGTGTCTTCAAAAACTTAAGACATCTTCTGAAAACCTGGTATAGGATAGTGCTCATTATAAATATATTTTGGTGCTTTTTGTATAGTCATTTTCTCTTATGTCCCTTATAGTTTCTGGCTAGAGGCCATAAGAAGGGATTCAACCAGTGTAAGATAAATGGCATAAAATTCCATTTTCATAGGACAAAAATAGTCAAATACGACCAGCCCCATAGCCTAGTGGTTAAGGGAAGCAGGATTCCATATGACCAACCCCAGTTCTACTCTTGACCTCTACAGCTTGAAACACATGCCATGCTTATGTCCATGTAAGTCCAAAATCTCGACAGGATGGAGAAATGGATTAGCCAGGTTTGTGGTTAAGGGGTGGGGGTGTTAGAGTGGTGCTTTTTTCCTCCCCCTCCCTCTGTCTCTCTGTATCTCTCTGGTGAACACATGTGCCCTATGGCAATTAAAATATATTCAGATATCAACACTTTCACGTGGTTTAAACAGTACACCCTGAGCAGTGTAGAGGTATTAATTTCTCATAGGGCTGAATGTCAGTAAGCAAGTCAAGGGAACTCAGCACCCTACTGGAGACTTGCCCCAAATCTCATGGGTTTATTCATCCTGTCTTCTGCTTTCCTTCATTATTGGTCTGGTTACCGCGGTCTCTTGTATTGTTCCTTCTCCTGCTACCATCGTCACTACTGAAAACCCCAAAGTTTGCAGAAACCCTCAGCACTGTAAGAGATTCATCAGGAGAGAAAACAATAAAAAATTTCCTTCTTTCTTCAAATCACATTTCTGTTACCTGTGAATAATTATTGTAGGAAGATGAGGAAGAGAACGTTAGTCTGAATTTCTTATACAGAGTGAATGTGTCATAGTGTAAATGAGCTTTGAAGCTTGGGTCCCTCTTACTTGCAGGATCGTGATCAGTGCTCAGAGAGTGACATGTAGCTAAGAAATGAGTGATGAGATGACAGCTGTGTGAGGATCCAAGGGACAGTTATGCCAAGGAGACAAGATAGGGGAAAGGATATAATGTGGAAAAATGTGCTGTCTAAAGGACATTTAAAGAATGCCACAGTGGCCGAAGAGTTGTGAGCAGGGGGTTTAGTGGTATGAGAGTAGGTAGGTTGGTGAGGAGCTCTGGAGCCTAATCACAGCAGGCCTGGAAGGTGATGGTAAGGTATTTGAATTTCATTTAACAGATGTGGGAAGCTCCTGGATGGTGATGAGGAGAGACAATTTATGTTCACCTTTAAAAGTTACTCTGACTCCCATGAGGAGTTTGGATTACTGAGTTCACAAGTGGAGTTGGGAGACCATTTAGAAGCACAGAAATCTCTAGGAAAGACAAGTGTGTGGCTTCACTTAGTTCATTAGTGATAAAGAGATTGATGAAGGTGGATTGAACTGATTGGGACAGATTTTTTTTTGTGTGTGGCTTATTAATGAGTTAAATATAGGGAGAAGATGAAAAATAAGGCTATTTCCAAGAATTTTGTCTTGATAAATAGGTGGAAGATCATGCTGTGAATTGAAATAAGGAATATTGTGGGAGGAAATGACTTAAGTGGATGACTAGAAATAAAGGTTTTGTTTAACTATGCTTGAACTAGTTTTTGACATTCATGTGGTGCTGTCAAGAGGTCAGTTGACTGTGAGCCTAGAGTCAGGGTGAGGTGTCCAGAG